AGACGAGAGAGAGAGAGAGAGAGAGAGAGAGAGAGAGAGAAGAGAGAGAGAGAGAGAGAGAGAGAGAGAGAGGGGGGGGGGGAAGGGAAAGGCGTATTACCGGGAGCAGCTGGGCTTCGTGAGCAAGACTTACTCGCTAATCGTGAGTTTAAAGTTACCTTACGATACTTCCCTTTAACGGTAAATTACGTCTATCGATCGTGGAACTTAGCGGCTAGTGTTGTGTAGTTTACGTAATAATAGTTCGATTAGACATCTCAATCCCCTCGACTAACGTTGTCTGTGTTGCTTCACACGTGTCAAGATGTATACAGAGTTTTGTATTAATTTCATATATTACGGGGAAATATATCCGATACATGCATATGTGCATATAAAATCTTGTAAATTTTAATAATTTAATAATAAGACTCGTTTATAACAAGTAATAATCATTTTTGTCTTAAATTGTTTCAATATGATAAAAAAAGAAACGCATTTTGCTTTTTTCTATTATACTTTATACTGTGTTTTATAGTATGACATATAATAATGAAATACTCTGTATTCATGTAAGTCTATTTAACTGTGTATTGGTCACGTAGGCCAAAAGCGATGTCGGCCTCTATATTATAATAATAATAATAATAATAGTAACAATGTTAATAATAATAATGATAATAATAACGCTCACGAACATATGTGCATTTGTCGGGGAAATGAGTTTTAATCTTCTCTCGAGACTCTTCTAATTAGCTTCAAATCTCATTATGAGAATTAGTGAAATGTTAGCGAACCGATTGGAGTTTCCAATGCAATAATTAACGTGATACTTATAATATTCGATTATGAACAAGAGTTGCTTTTCTTCTTCTCTCTGTATTTCTCTTTTTCTCCTTTGTCATACAATTATAGTATTCACACTCAAATACCAAGAATATTTTTCTAAATTGCAAGTTTAAACCTTATTTAGAGTTACGAGAAAATATATCACATATTTACAAATTTTAACAATAATGATCTCATAGTTGCATAATTAATATTTAATTAATAATAAATTATATAACTAATAATGTCAATAATAATATAGAAATTATTAAATTAATTATTAATAACATATATATATAATATATATTATTTCAACAATCAATAATTTTGATACTGCAATGATTGTTGTTGTATTAATTTATAAATTATAAATATAAATAATTATTCTTTTATATTTTTTGCGTGTAGAATCTAGATTTTAATGATCGCGAATTTCTAAGATGTTAAGCTTTAACTTAAGCATGAGAACGAGATTGGATAATTCTCTTCTCGTTTGTCCGATTTTGCGACAGACAGAAGGCAACGAGACAAAGAACCACCGTCGCGATGAGATGGACGAGGCGTCTCGAGAGGGTGGCGGCAACCGATTATCCGTATTCGTCAAGCGGCAAAACGTGAGAGGGGGAAATTAACGTGCCTTTAATTAATTCCGTGAAACTTTCTGATCAGC